TGTGTGTCCTATATATAATTCATGGGTCATATAGGAAGTCTCAAGGGAGATTTAAAAATGCACTGAACAAGGGCCGGCCCATGGCTCACTCGGGAGACTGTGGTGCTGACAACACCAAGGCCGTAGGTTCGGATCCCTACATAGGGATGGCCGGTTAGCTCACTGGGTGAGCGTGGTGCTGACAATACCAAGTCAAGGGTTAAGATCCCCTTACTGGTCATCTTTAAAAATAAATAAATAAATAAAATAAAATAAAATAAAAATGCACTGAATATAACTTATCAAAATTTGTGGGACACAGCTAAATCAGTGCTAAGAGGGAAATTTACAGCACTAAATGTTTACTTTAAAAAAGAGGAAAAGTCTCAAATCAATAATCTAAGCTCCCACCTCTAAAAAGATCAATAAAACTGACAAACCTCTAGCAAGTCTTACAAAGAAAAAAAGAAGACACAAATTTTAATATCAGGAATGAAATGAGATATTGCTACAGAGCCTGTAGATATCAAAAGGATAATATAAGAATACTACGAACAATTCTACAAACATAAATTTGACAACTTAGATAAAATGAATCAATTCCTTGGAAAGTACAAACTACCACAACACACCCAGTATAAAATAGATAATTTGAATAGTTCTATAACTATCAAATAGAATTCATAATTTTAAAGCTCCCAAAAAAGATTAAATAAAAAATAAATAAATATAAAAACAAACGTGGGGGGAGGGGTGGGGAAGAAGACACAATTATTACAACAATTCCTTGAACTTGTTAAGGCGAGTGAACAGATATGAGTTGATGGGAGGGAGGGGAGGGAGGGAGGAAAAGGAGGAATTAGCAAAGGGACACGAAAATCAACTACATTGTATATCGATAAATTAAAATTGAAAAAAAAGATTAAAGAAAGATAATCAAGCAAAGTGTTTAGCATAGTGACTGGCATATTACCTAGTGCTCAATAAATGATTGCTAGAACCATTTTACTTAAATCATCACAACCACTCTCAGGGAAACTGAGGCTTCAGAGAGAGCAAATCCTTTGCTAATAAGTAACAGAACCAGAATTTGAACCCAGATCTGAAATCAGTGCCCTCTCCTATAGAGTTTAAAATTCACACCACAGCCACCTCCTTGGGGATGTGTCAACCAATATTTCTTTTATAAACGGGAAAACTGTAAAGGAGTGAGATTTTTGCCAGAAACCCAGACATCGATAGATGCTCGCCAACTAGTTTTCTCCACTAGTGTACAACAATTATTTTCTTTTTTTTCCTTTTTGTCTTTTTTTGTGACCGGTAACGGGATCACAACCCTCGGTGTCGCGCCCGTACCGTGACCGGTAACGGGATCGCAACCCTCGGTGTCGCGCCCACACTGCGCTCAACCAGTGAGCGGACCGGTCTCTATATGGGATCCGAACCCTCAGCGGGAGTGCCGCCGTGCTCCCAAGTGCCGCACTCTACCGAGTGCGCCACCGGGCCAGCCCAACAATTATTTTCAAACATTAGGGTGCATCAGAATCACCTGTTTGTTAAAATACAGATTACTCAGTCCCAGTCCCAGACCAAGAGTTTGCATTTTTAACAAATTTCCAGTTAGTAAGCCCCAACAACTGGTGCACAGTAATATGTTAGCTTATCCATCCCGCAATATCAGAAGCTATCACACTTCACAGAAGGGGAAGTAGATGAGACAGGATAAATGCTCTAAATCACTGGTTCTTGAGGGTGGACCCTGCTCACCACTGAATCAGAAACAGTGCAGCTGGAGCCTAGCTATCTTGTGTTTTAACAGGTCTTCCAAGTGATCTGATGCACACTAAAGTTTGAGAGCCACTGCTCTACAAATCAAAGTGTTTTTGCAAAACCCAGACTATTACAGGAGGAATGATGCTATATGAGGATACTTCAAAAAGTTCATGGAAAGATTCATACTATCTTTTAATTCCATTTTTCCACAAGTTTCTTGAAGTATCCTCATAACTTTTCCCACTTTTGAGAACCTGGGCTCTGGAATTAGATAACTCAAAGTTCAAATCCACACTCAGAAAGTCACTTAACCTCCATGAGTTCCAAATCCTCATCAGCAAAATGGAATAGCTGCCTCCCTTGCTATATAATCTTTCCAGGGAGTAACTTAGTATTACATACCATAATCCATACCTGGACTTCAAGAAATCTATCCTATGAAGTCATCAGAGATGTGAACAGATTTCTATCACCTCTAGGCATTTGTGGATTTAAAATGTGTGGGCTTAGCTATTGTAAGCAACCACGAAAAGTCAATATTAATTTTCAATTGTGCTGAAGTACAAACTTAAACAGAGCCATATGTGCACGCACATGCAATGCACTGAATAAGCAAGAGCAGCCACCCACCAAGGACCTGATTCTCAGCTAGCTTCCTTGTTCTCCAGCAGCCCATAGAGAGAAGAGATTTTTTAAAATTGGCTTCTTTCACGGAAAAAAAAAATTAAGGCAGTTAACTTGTGTCAGGGCACAGAAACACAGGACTTACCATAGAAATGTAATTTTAAAAGGGCCTGAACCATAAACCCATTTCCATATTTGTAAGTTTGGAATTCTTAAAGCCCTCACTGGTGCTCTGAGTAAATGTCAAGTATCTACTGTGCAAAGATGTTCACCACAATAATGTTTTTTCTTCTTGTTTTAACCAGCACTTTTATCAAGATACAAAATCTTTCCAGAACTCCCAAAGTTTCCTCAAAAAAATTACAAATAATTTAAGTGCCCAACCATACAGGAACTAAGTAACTAACTGGTGCCACATGTATATAGTAGAATATCAGAAATTAGGTTTAGACGAATATTTAACAATCTGGCAAATACCAACATTAAAATGTTAAGTAGGAATAAAAGACGGGTTACAAAATGGTATTTATAATACAATCCCACTTTGTAAAAATATATGCTCATATTTTAAGTCAAAAGACAGGAGTTAATGCACCAAAAAATTTAACAGTGGATTGTGCCAGATAGTGGATTCATAGGTGACTTTTATTTCCTTCTTTATTATTTTTCTGAACTTCCTACAATGAGCATGTCTCACCTATATAATCAGGAAAAAATTAAAAACATTATTTAAAATAAAAATATCTAACTTTCAAGCTTGGGTGTTGATTAAATAATTTATGCAAAGTCCCTGTCATGGGGTCTTACACACAGTAAGCACTCAGGAAGCATTTGTTCTTGTTCCCTGTTTCCAGAGTGTGGAGCTAAGGTCCCTATATTGTAGGCAGAAGCCCCTTTACCAGGTCTGAACCTACCTACTTCCCATACAACCCAAAGTAGGGGCCACAGGCAATAGTATTTTTCAAGAAGATTCATTCATTCATTCATTCATTCATTCAAAAACATACTCAGCATCTATTACATGTTTAGCGTTGAACTAGTTTCTGGGGATACCAAAAATAAAAAGATGACATCTCTGCCCTCAGGGAGCTCTAGCTAAAATGAGTGACACATACATATTTATAACTATGATATGATGAAAAATTACTTTTTCATAAGGATGAACACAAAGTTTAATGGGAACCCAGAGGAAGGAGGCCTTTTACAAAGAAGATATTCTGTGAGTTGTAAGGGGAGGACATTAGGGGCAACAGCATGTGCAAAGACAAAGAGGCATAAAAGAGTATAAAAATTTCCCAGAATTTTGGATAGTTCAACCTTGCTGGGACATAAAGAACAAAGTAAGAGGAATGGCGGGAAATGAGACTGAAAAAGTAGATCACAAAAGGTCTTGTCTGTCACACAAAGGAGATTTAATTTATCCTGCAGGGGAATCACTGAAAGAAGAATTTTAAGCTGAGGAGTGACTTGATCAGCACTAGCAAAGGTACCAGTAATCCTCAAAGACATCTTAATCTCCATTTACTTCCAGGGCAAAGGAAAAGGCCCCACCCTCAAGGCCTATCCCCTCTTAAATGAAATAACATGAGGCAGTAAACAGAACTCTGTACCTGGCACACAGTAAATATTCAATAAATATCAGTTAAATATGAATTTGGATACACTTCATGAGAGCAATCCCTGCTGAGGGCAGGATTTTAGCAGCACCAGCACCTTTAGTTCAGTGTTGGGTGTGGCAACAGAAACAGCTCTTCTGGAAGGGACAGGTGACAACTAAAATTCTGAAATCTAACATGCCACAGGAGTAGAGCTCCATATACTGTTTTGTTTTATTCCAATGTACAAATACACCCTCATGACTGTCTTTCTATAGATGGGATTCAAATCCCAATAATGGAATAATAAACTGTAGTTTTATTCCACATCCTAACCTCTCTGGAATCCTGGGAGACAAATGCTTATTTGCACATGTGGTTAACTAGAGGTAATTCATTAATGGTTTTACTCCTGTTTTACCCAATATCTCTTCTGCTTCAATTTAGTTGGACGGTTCTGCAGATAAAATACTATTGCATTTCTGCCTCCGTTTATTCAGTGCATGCAATGCTTTACAGAGTAGAGAAGGATGTTTTTGATATATTTTATAGGTGAAGACAATGAGACTCAGAAAGGGAAAGCAACTTGCCCAAGGTCACCCTGATATCAAGTTGCAAAGCCACGACTCAAATCCATGCTTGTTTGACTCAAATGTATCAAAAAAATGCAGTAATATCTTCCCCCACAGCCAGTGTCTGAGGCGAAACACAACTGCCAGAACACAAAAGTGATACTTTGTGGCTGGAAAGAAGGAGCTTATAGATCTAAAAAATAAAAAATAAATAAAAAATAAAAATAAAAAGAAGGGTACAAAGAAGAAATACATCGGGGAAAACAGAGAAAGAGTAGAAAACAGAGGGCTATGTCAGCTAGGCCGTGGTCTGCAAGGAGGGATAGAAGAACCTGGATCTGGGAGGGGGTTTGGAATTAATGGGGAATTAATGGGGGGAGGGGTCTGGGCCAGAACCTAAAACAGAGCCACATCTGGCCACTGCTGCACCCTGTCCCGCCTGGCCTGCTCTCCTTACCTGCCGTGAAACCAGTCCTGGCACATGTCACACTCGATCATGAAGCGAGTCACATCGTAAGGCAGCCGGCAGAGGCAATACACTGGCACCGAGGCCATCTTCGCCTGGCCTTGGAGCGTTCTGCGACGGGCCAGGGTCGTGGTGTCAAGAGGGGCGGGAGGCAGCAGCACACGTCCTCTGTGGACGAGGGCTGGGCACAAACAACACTTTTTACAGAGTGAATCAAGGCCCCGGGGCACCCACCCTCAGTTCTCGAATGGGAACTTACAGCCGCCGGGCTGCAACACAGTCGGTACGGCTGTAGGGGGCAATCGGGGAAAGTCCACCCCCCTTCAGAATTTCTTTCACACGAAAAAAACGGCGCTCGGCCGTCGAGGCCCCCCCACCCCAACCCCACCTTCTTTGGCCCTGGAGCCTGGGATAACTTCTTTCCGGGTTTCAGGGAAACATCTGAAGCCTTTTCAGGAAGCTTCTTTAATCCCTCACTGAGCCCTCTCCCTGTTCGCCCCTGGTTTTTCAGGGCTCCTTTTATTATGACACAAACCACAGCCTAAAAACTGAGGCTGAGGTACCTCAGGAAAGATATTTCTCTCACCCCCAAACCAGAGAGAGGTGAGGGGTCCCTGAAAGCCGGGTCACGTTATTCGAACATTATCTCAAAACCTTTAGAACAAGGTAGACACGACTAAGAGCCCAACTCAAATCACAGTTCTGGGGTCGTGTTCCGAGACTTTGAATGATCCTTCTCGTCACTCTCAGTATCACCCCTTCCCCGACCAGGCAGGAGTCTCATCACCCTATTCCCCCACCCCCAACCTGAAGTAAATCTCAATTTCAGAACTGATCAGCTCGTCCTCTACTTCAAAGATGACAGGGTTCTCGTCGCTCCCCTGCAACTCAATCCCTCGAAACTGACTAGAATTTTCTCACACCCTGAAACCAAGGATTTTTTTTTTTCACCCTTCGCAAATTGGCAAGCATCTCCTCGCAGTCGCCTCAAAGTGATGAGGGCTCCCTTTTCCCCCGCAAACTGACAGGGATCTATCTAATCCTGGATTCTGGAACTGACAGGAATATCCTTGCAGCCCCTGAAACTTACGAGAATGTCTTCACGCCTCCCCAACGGACAGGAATCTCCTCACGCCCCAAACCTGACAAGAACGTCGTCGGTACCAAATCCTACGCGGATGTCCTCATGGCCAAAGCTGCACGGACCCCTTACGCCCGCGAAGCTCAGTCCCAGCGACACGCCGGCGGCCGGGCTCGCTTCGGGGCGGCGCAGCGCGGAGCCTCGCTCAGCAGAGGCTCGCCCGGCAGTTCCGGCCCCAAGGCCGGCGCGCACCGAATTCTGGGATTGCACCGTAAAACTGCGAACCTTGCTAGCCTTCCCCTCGAGCCACCCGCTGGCCCGCGCGGCGCCAGCTGCCGGCGGTGCTTCAGGGCAGCCTTCTCCACTGCGCTTTCCCCGGCCGGGCCCTTGGGGCCTACTGGAGACCGCGGCTCGGGCCTAGTCCGGCGGCCGCCCAACGAACAGGCAAGTGGCGTCGTCACTGGGCCGGCAAGATAGCCGTGAGCAAACCAACCAGAAATGGTACGAACTAACCGCCAGGTCCGAGAAAGACGGCCCGAAAAGTCGCCGGGAGAAGCCCGGAGGTGGTGGTGGGCAACTCGAAGTAGTCAATAAAGTTTATTCAAAACGAGGAAGCTGAGGCGGAGAGGGGAGGAGAAATACGGGGTAAACAGCTACCATATTGAGAGTGGCGGTGCGGCCGCTGGAGCCACCGCCATCTTATGAGGGCCGGGTACGCGAGTTAACCGCGGCGGAGGCGGGGAACGGTGAACCTCCGACTCCTGTGTGACTTCACCGGGGGCGGGGCGCCACCTTGAGAAAGGAGGGCGGTGCTCAGCTACCTTTGGACCCGCGCCTCTCTTCAAGATACCCAATCGCCGCTAAGAACCTTGAGCCGAGAGGCGGGGAAGCCGCCATCTTAGGCGAGGCACGGGCTTGGCTCCATTTTGAGTGGGGCTACAAACTTCCAAACTTTCCCCGTCCTTCGGGCAAACGGGGAGTTAAGCAACTCCACACGCATACTCCTCCTCCTCAGCCTTCTCCTCCTATTAGAGGAGGTGAACTCTGTGACTCTAAACTGTAAAATTAATAGGTGGCGACGGGGGGCGGGCTTCGCTGAGGTAGAGGCACACTACTCACAGCGGCTCCCGTTCATTGAGCACGTTCAGCGAGCGACGCTCTTTCCCACGGACTCCGTGTCCTTTATTCTTCACCCTGTGAGGAAGGCTCTGTGATTATCCCCAAATAAGGACACCGGCTTAAAGAAGCCAAGTGACTCGAGTTTCAGCACGGGCAAGTTGAACCTTGCTACCTCTACTAACTGCGTTCCTGCCCCACTCCCTAAGTGTAGTTCTTCCCTAAAGCTGCTGCCAGCTTCCCAGCTTCCTCCTCTCAACTCTCCCTTCTTCCACCCTCTTTCACTTCACATCTGTTCAAATACAGTTCAAGAATGTCCACGCACCTGTTCCACAATTTTCTGACCACAGCTGGGGGGGGGGCGGGGGGAGGGAGGAGATGTTGAGTGGAGCCAACACATATGCATCAAGATGGCGCTGGTTGGTTTTTTCAAACATTCCAGAAAATTCTCTAGGAGTTATCTTATTATTTCACTTTCTTAAAGGGTCCCACTGCTTTAAAAAAGAAAATGTATGTGTGCACACCAATTTCCTAACCAGTGAGGGTGGGTTAGGCCCTGGGGATACAGTTACTTGAAAAGTGGGAAATCACCAGCCAGTGCAGGAGACAAGCTTGCAAGTAAACAGTTGGAATACAACGCCAGGTAAGCACACAAATACCTCTCTCAAATTGCAAAATGAAGCTAAGAGCCTCAGGAGATGTTTCTTGCTGTGAGGAAGAGGAGAGACTTGGAGGATAGATAAAAGATCACTAAATAAGCAAGAACATTGTACACAAAAGCACCAACATGTACAACTGCATAGAGGCACATAGGAAAGCATTTACTAAACGATGCTGAATATTTCTGGAACAGAGGAAGGAAAAAAGAGGTGGATAGGTCAAACTGAGTAAGGGATCAGAGTTATGAAAGATTGCAACAATGTAAAAGAGTTTAGATTTTATCCTGTAAGCAATAAGAAACCGCTGAAGTTTTTTGAGCAGGAATAACTGAGTCACATTTTGTGTCTTAGCCAGAGGAATGTCCATGTTTTAGTGGGACCTGAAGCTTATACAGTTTGGGGGAGGGGGTAGGACTTCTTTAAAAAAAAGAATATACAGATGGTCGATCCCGTAGTTAACAATGGGGTCTTGTCCCAATAACTTCGTCATAAGTTGAAAATATCGTAACTTGAAAATGCATTTAATACATCTAACCTACAGAACATCATAGTTTAGCCTAGCCTACCTTAAATGTGCTCAGAACACTTTCGGTACTGTATTCAATTAACATGAGATCTTCAACACTTCATTATAAAATAAGCTTTGTGTTAGGTGATTTGGCCCAACATTGCAAGAGAGTATCCTACCACATAACACTAGCCTGGGAGAAGATCAAAATTCGAAGTATGATTTCTACTAAATTCATATCATTTTAACGTCATGGTAAAGTTGTAAGTCGAACCATCTTAAGTTGCAGACCGTCTGTATATTTTGTGAACTTACATGACCATATGGCAAGTGACAGGTCCTGCAGGAGCGTAATCTTTCTTAGCTTCACAAGGAGGTAGAAGGAGGAGGGTGTTTCACTAGTCTGGAAAAAAGATGAGGCCTGAACCAGGATAATTGCAGCAGACGTGGAAAACGATCAGATAATTTGGGTATTTTGGAGGTTGAATAGGCAGGACTTGGGGGCTAATTAAAAATGGTGTGTGGATGATGAAAGGGGTGAGTTCGTTTCTGGGTTGAGTGTCAGAGTAGATGATGGTGCCACTGACTGAGCAGGGGTATACAGAAGGAAAAGGTTTGGTGGGGAAGAAAAGACCGAGTTTAATTTGGAGTATGTTGCGTTAAGGTGTGTGTGAAACATTAATTCACTCACCCAAGAATTCTTTATTGGGCATCTACTCTGCACCAGGCACTGTGCTAGGTGCTGAGTATTAGGCCTCGCCAGCTTAAGGCAGTTGGGCTGGGATGGAAGGAGTGCTTCACAAGCCTATGCCCTAACCAACCGGATATTATTGGATCACAAGGGCTGTGTCATCTTGCATACCACTGATTTAGAAATTGCCCATTACTCTGTCAGAACCCTCCCTAAAAGTCATAAACCTCTTGCTTTCCTTGGTTTGGGGGAACTGATCTGGTTCAGTCTGCCCTCCATGCGAGTGGAATAAAGCTTTTGGCTGCAATAGCCCCTCGCTCGGGTCTCTCTCCCTTTTCTCCGTCTCACTGAACCTAACACTGAGGAGTCGAGGTACCCCTGATAAGGTCCTGGCCTTCATGGAGCTGACATTCTACAGGGGGAATTGGTCAGTTATCAAAATTCTTTATGTATGTTTATTGAGCAGCTGATATTATGCCAGGTACTGTTCGAGGCACTGGGGATTCAGGGGTGAACAAAACAGACAAGGTGCCTGCCCTACTGTGACTCACTTTTCAGCAAGGGAGACAGGCAATTGTTGGGAAAATATAAAGAAAGTGGTCAGAGCCCCTCGGGTGTTCAGAGTCCTGCCAAGCATCTGAGGTGGTTATGCGTGTGGGCACAGGTGTTCCTTGTTATTGTCTAATGTGATAGTATATGTGCATCTGGGTGTTTTTTTTGGATTATGGACTTGAGTATAAAGGAGTAACAGTGCAAATGCATGAAGCTTTGAGAGGACGCTCTAGGAAGCATATTAGGTTGACTGTTCCTAGTTCTGAATAAAGCCTATTATTCACGTATTGCTCCAGGGACCTTTTCCTATTACCTAGCTCGTAGACCTGCATGTGAAGGGTTTGTGACCCTGTCTGGACAACGGGCTTGAGGGGTCTGTGAGCCCTAGCCCTAGCTCTACAATTGGCGTAGTCGATGGCAGGATTCTGAGTAGGTATGGGAGCCAAAAGCCCTTGGGAGGAGGAAGAAATGTGGCTATTCTT